ATAAAAAGAAAAGGAAGAAAAATGGAAAATGCACTCATGGTGTTTAAATAGAATCTTTCAAATTACATTTTGAAACTCATGGCTTCTGAGCAGCTCCCAATTCTACGCTGTTTCTAAGAGAACTGGTTCAGGACCGGTTGTGCAAAAACAACAAAACACCCTTCTAGGACAGCATTTCTAAGTGGAAGCGCGCACGCACCAACACACACTTCCCAAGCTGGGCACTGCGATATATGCCTAGGATCCCAGCAATTTGGGAGGCTGAGGCAAAGAGCTTCACGAGCTAGGAACAGCTGGGACTAAATCAGGAGACCCTGTGTATAAAAAAGAAAAGTTGGTGTGTGTTGGGGGGGGGGGGGGCGGGGGTGACAGACTGTGAAAGCCACCACAGGAGTGAACTGGAGAGAAATGAAGGAGGGGAGTTTTTGCATTGGCCAGTCTTCTCAGGAACGGGCTCACTGAAAATGCCACTGCAGGTGTCTGCCTTGCCGGCCAGGAGTGAAGGCACCTGTAAGTGCTAGGCATCTCACAGGGGCTGAGCATTACACGTGACTTCCTTGGGGGGGGGGGGGTTTCAATCATCTGGTGATTTTCATTAGCTTTGTCTGGACTGAAACTCAGAGTAATGGCTGCTCAATTAAGGACCTCCCCTTTCTCTTACTACTTGATCTATGAAAAGCTACCGCTCCCCCACAAGACGCACACACCCCAGTGAATCAGAGGGATGATACATACATTTATACATGACCCATTGCTCATCAACTTTTGACGGTTTCATTAGCAGACCTGGAATAGTGGCCCAGTTGTAGACAGCAGATATTTAGAAAATATCAAACATTTATAAATAGTTCTAGGAGAAATCTATTTTTACTACTTTTCTGTCTTGTTATAAATATACCCTAATCTCTATCCTTTTACGCACAATTCAGCATCATTAACATTCTTCTTGAACCCACTAAGGAACTTGAAAAGCAACCTGCGCACACACACACATAAAAATATTGTTTAAAGGGTGAAATGATTTTCACATGTAGTTAGTTTTGAATCTTCTAATCTTTTTTAAGTGTATTTTAAAATATAAAATCATTTCTTAAAGAAAATATACTTCAGACCATTACATATTCTTCAAATATTATTAATTTTCCCTCATCCATCAAATGACCACCCCAGCTTAACATGATGAAACACACAACTTCTAAAGGGTCATCTTAGTCTCTGTATTTGCAAATAAACCTTGTTACTATTGAAAAGTACAATGTAGCAGATGGACTAAATAATCAATTCTCTTTTAGAACTAAGGTTTAAGAATTTAAATACCTCTATAAATTGCTGCCTTCAATTTAAAATTGATACTACTGGAAAACCAATCTAATTCAATAGTAGTATTGAATTAGAAAATAAAGGAAAATGATATTCTTTATTTGTAGACCTCATTAGTTTTTAATGTTTAAATAATATATGAAAAGTTAAATACTAGCCTCTTAAAAACATCTTAAGGCTACATTATTATCTAAATATCAAGAATTTTTTTTTTTACCATTTCTATTCCAACCCTAATATCTATTTCTTAGAGATCAGGAAAATGTATGTTCTCTACAATATAAAAAAATTCACCTTTTTGAAAATGTGTAACTGCAACTTCAAAGCTAAATCAAAGTGACTTTACAGTTTGATAACATATATGGCACTGTATTAATCTTTCCACATATGTAATTAAGTCCAGCCATCATTTCTAATTCAACAAACTCTTGAATTAGGAGGCTCCTATAAGATATAAAACTAATAAAGTCTTTCTGTTTCTAGAAAATTAAAAATTAATGCAGAAAAAGCCTTTGTTACAGGGAGGACGTGAAGTTGGGTGGATTTTTTTGGGGGGGTTGGTATTTAATTCAGCTATACACAATGTACTACATACAAGCAAAATACAATTGGGATACTGTTTTCTTTAGCATTCCTATAGGAGACCAAATTCATTTGCATTGGAGAACACAATTACTGATTTCTGACTCATGAAAGACAGATTCATAGCTTCCCTACAGCACCTCGGAGCATTTGACTGTCCCAGTGAAAATGGCATCAATCAGCTACTTCCTAGACGTGGGTAGATACTGCATTTTTTTTTCTAAAGTTGTGTTTCGCACAGAATCATTCAACTTTAGGTACAAAAGCACAGTCAAGTAAGCGTGTCTTGGATCAAAACCGTTTATCCAATGTGTACATGTGTGTATATGGGAATTTTTAAGTGCACTTTCAGCAACACCCAAAATAAAAATTCTACCAAGGAAGTTTCTGGAACTTTTCACAGCACTTTTAAAGTTATCAGTTTTTTTTCCCCTCTCTAACCCACAGGTACTATACAAATATAGAAGACAATCCAAAGATTTTTATTCAGCAGATTGAAACCAAGTAGAATGCAAGAGAAACAGATGATAGCTGTGGCTTACTGACCAACAATCTGCACTTAAGATGGACGAAACATAAGTAACAAGAAGAAAAAAAAAATTCTACTTCAGAGTGGCTGAAAAAAGAAACAGTAGTGTCTAGTCTGTCTACAGTGTAGCCATGTGTATTAAATGATGCTATGTGATTTAACAAAAGACCCAATGGTAAGCAAATAGCATGCCAATAACTCCACAAATGAAGATTAAAACATTTTACAAACTATCATCAGCTTTAGAAAAACACCACCTATCTTCCTATTGGGAACGTAGGTATTAAAACAGCTTCCTGAGAATTCAAAGAGCCAAGCACGATATTTAAAAAATTAGCACTCACTCACTGAATCATTTCTCAAGGAGGTAAAGAGAGAGGACGGCTTGTTTTCCCTGTGCTCCACAGAACACAAAAACCACATATAGAACTGACCAAATGTTCACAAATTTACTTCCAACTTGTCAATTTGCATGGGAAAGGGAACAAAAGAACAATAAAACAATCACTGTATAACATGAAAGCTTTGGTCTTAAATGTCACAGTATTCTGGTTTTTTTTTAAAGCCACCAGCGTGGTTGTGCCCAGAATTATGGAGACCTCGTCCCAGAGAGCTGAGCCTAGCTAACCAATTCCAACCAGTTTAGCTTTCTCTCCCTTAAGTTGCAGTGCAAGTAGAGAACGTCTGTATTTGAAATAAAGGGGGAGGAAAAAGACTAAAACCATCAGTCAAAAAATAGTGCCCCTCTCCCCAGCAGCCGCTACCCATGCCTTTGGTTTCTTAACAGTCTTCAGGTGTAGTCAACCACGCGGCAGGCTGAGGTTATTTTATATCACCAACATGTTCAAAGAAATCCACTTATTCCTAGGACTATATAAGCCCTAGACTGTTAAACAATTTATACTAAAACTTGTGACATGACTATTTTTGAGCTATGGCAGAATAAAATTACCTAAGTGACACTACAGCCAAAATACAAACAACCTCTGCATTTTGAAAGAAAAAGCCAAAATAGTCTTTTTGTTGCTAAGTTCTGGGTGATCTTAACAACTTTAAGTAAGCTAGCATTTCACTTACTTTGAAAACTGAAGGATATACACTGCATGGTGGAATAAGGGGACATCAAATAGCCCCAACTACAAATCTATTGACTTGTGCTAATTATGACCTCCAAAAGGACTCACAAGAGCTAGACAGCCAAGAATGAAATATTTAGAGATACATCGTGCATTAAACATTCTCAGTGGTTCTTTTTAACAGTATTCATCAAAACTTCAACTGTTGAGGGACGAAGGGTTTAAACCTACAGTAAATACTTAGCATCCCAGAAGACATTCCCCTACCCATCCCCCAAAATGGTAATAATAATAATACTGAAGGAAACCACATAAACTCAGAACAATTTACAGAAAGCCTGCTACACATTTTCAACATAAGAATCCACTCAGTAATACAACCCAAACTGCAAATCATTAGTTCTTAACTTTTTCTAAAACAAAAGTATTAAAACCGTTTTCTAATGTGGTGCAGTCATGTACAAACAGAGATTCCATGACATTAAAACGTATGTGGAAATAAGCTCACGATATTTTTAAAAACCCTCCAGCACAGCCAAGTATTTCTAAAATCAATTTGTTTTAAAATGTTCTCAAAATCTTGCGTCTTAACCTCTGACTAAGAAGGTGGAAAATCAGACTTAGCGTCCCAAGTTCACATACTTAATGACGAATGCAAAGAAACTTCCTTAATGGCTGTAAAGTAAGTCAGGACACGTGGGAGGAGGTAAACACCCCCCCCTCCCAATTTAAAGTCCACAGTGAGCTTTACACAAAGATTTTCTCCTTCATTCTTCCCTAGCAAATCACTGGGGAAACCCAGCCCCTACAGAACGCGTTACTCCTAGGTTAACAATAGCTAACTATCGGCTTCACCGCGACATTGTTTATTCTCCAGCGTTTCTCTAATGCAACAATAACAGCAAAGTGCTCAGGAGCACAGCCCCTCTGCCTCAGTTACTGAAGTCTGGCTTCTCCCTGCATCCCATACAAACAACCTACTGCTTTAGAATACCACACAAAATACTGACCCCTTAGTTACTGAATTATTGTATTATTCGTCACTAAACTATGCAAAAAAAAAAGTAATTAGTCGCATGGTCAAGTTAAGCAATTCAACTGACACAGTAAATATTTACTCTTAACATCTCCCAGGAAGTTTGCTATTGTGCTGGGGGTAGGGATGGCAGTCGGGAGTTCTCGGGGAAAGGCAATTTATGATAAACAGCTTAATCACAGCCAACTGAATCCACCTAGTGTTCTCCATCTCGACCCCTAATTAGGCACCAAACAGTTTGCAAGCGCAGAAAGCACCTTATATAATGAAAGTAAAATAATAATAAAAGAATAATAACTTTCTAAGCTATGTATCTCTACTAACAAACAAACAGAAGACTTTTTTTTAAAAAACATACATTTTTTAAAGTTGACGATTTTTTTTTTAGTTATACGTATGGAAAAACCAATCGCGGAGGGGGGGTTAGAAAAAAAGAAACTAGGCAAAATATATTTACCTTAGCTTTTTAGAGACTGAGTAATCAACTTCCATGATTTTCCCATGCAATTCCACTTTACCTTTAAAACAGAAATTTAAAGTACTCAGAACCTCCCCAAATCAAACCCGCAGGGGTCTAGGCACACTACTCCCGCGCTCCGGCTCCGCCTTCTGGAGCCTTTAAGGGGTCCTCCACCCGGCCGCAGCTGGGCGAACTTAGCGCCAACTGTGATGAAAAGTGGGCGCCACGGGTGGCGGACGAGGTGGGAAGGGCACAAGCCTGGTTCCGACCCCAGGTATAGCTGTGGGTGGCATAACCGGAAAAACACATTTAATAAAGAGCGGCGCCAATTTGAAAAGATGAGCTCATTTGAAACTCAAGCTGCAGGGCTGGCGCGCCCCGGCTTCTCCGGCCCCCAGTTCCATATTCCGCCACCCGAGGACCCCGAGATCCGGGGCGCTCGCCCCCACCCCCACCCCACCGCCCTCCCTGCCAGCGGGGCTCGGGGGACACGCGCAGGAGACCCCAGCTCTGCGGCCGCCTACTTTGGGGTGACCCCCAGGTCTCGCCAGCCCACCCCACCGCACAGGTCTCCAAGGAAGGGGTTCCCTGGGGAGTCGGGGGTCGCAGGCCTGGGGAGCGTGGCCCGTCGCGTGCGTGTGCGGGATGCGAGCTGGGAACGCGCGCGCAGGCGAGTGTCGCGCTCCGACTCCCGTCTGGGCTCCAGCGCGCTCGCGGGCCCCCCGGTCGCCTCTTTCCCGGTTCTCAGCCCGGGCCCCCACCGAGTTGAGACAGGGTACCTCGTAAAAAGGTGCTTCTGGCCGAGCAGGAGGCGGGGAGACGGGAGGCGGAAAGCCCCCAGCCCCGAGTTCTTCTCAATAAAATCGGACAAAAAATTCAGGGAAAAATAGGAGCGCTTCCGAGACCAGCGAGAGGGAAGTGAGCTTCGGGAAAAGACCGAGGGAGGTGTGCGGTCCGGCAAGGGGGAACCCCGGGACCTCAAAGGGCTCAGTAGGTAAAGTCGAGGAACTGCCGAAAGTGGGGGGCCAGGACACGGGGGGGGGTCTCGAAAAGGAGAGTGCAGCTCGGGAGACTGCAGAGGGCGAGAGGTCTTTGGCACGAGGCATGGGAAGAAGGAAGGTTTGGCCAGAAGGGAAGATGCTGGACTTGGGGGGCCCCTGGCAAAGAGGGCACTAGAAGGGTCAGAAAAAAGGAAAACAGGGGGCTCTGCAAAGGTGGGGGCGGGGGAAGCTCCGCGAAGCAGCTGGGCACGCCAGGGGCGCTTCTAGGAAGCCAGCAAGCCCTGGGACCCCCGGAGGAACACAGGGTCGCCCCGAGTCTGAGGCCCGAAGGTCTAGGGTAGCCCCCGCTGTGGGGGCAGGGCAGCCGGCCGTCCCGGAGCCCGCCCGCCACCAGAGTCGTGCGGGGCTGGTGCGTGGAAGTGTGCGTGCGGGCGCGGGAGTCGCGGCGGGTGCGGCCCGTGGGGCTCGGCCTCCCCGCTGCCACCGTCCCGAGCCGGCGAGGCGAGGCGTGGGTCGCGCGAGTGCTCACCCGAGAGGGTCTCGATGGCGCGGATGGCCCAGTTCTGGTCGGGGTAGTCCACGAAGGCGTAGCCGGACTTGAGAAGGACCTGTCCCGCCAGGGGCAGCTTCCTGTCCCCGAAGAGCTGCCGGAGGTCGTCGGCGGTGACGGCGGGGCTCAGGTTCCCGATGTACAGCTTGTTCATCATCCGTGTCTTCCCGAGAGCCCGCGGCTCCCCCGGCCCGGCACCCGGCGCTCCCGCCGCCTCTGCTGCCCTCCTCTCTCCTCCTGAGCCCGCCCCCGCCCCCACCCTCGCCCTCAGCCTGGCTCCCCCCACCGCGGCCGGCCCGGCCCGCCCGGGGGCAGAGGCGGAGGCGGGGACTCGGCGCGGCTGCCTCCTCGGGGCAGAGTCCCGGGCGGGCTCGCGGACAAAGCTCTCGGTCTGCCTCCCGGTACCGGGGCGGCGACGGGCGACGCACCCCGCGCGCTGGAGAGTTGGACCGGCGTGTGCACCGCCAAGAGTGCGCGCCCAGCCCGTCCCGCGCCGCGCGCTCCGAGGGCTCGGCGCTCCCCAGGCTGCGCGCCGGACGGGCGGAAGCGGCGGCGACCCGAGCGAGGACCCGACCGGGAGCGGCTTTGCGTGGCGGAGCGCGGGCAGTAGGAGGAGAGGGGGCGTGGGCGGGGTGTGTGCAAGGTGGACCGGCGCGGGCGTGCGGCCGGTGAAGTGCACAGCGAGGTGAGAGGCGCACGTCACGGCTGACAACTTTTCCCCCGCGCGTCCAGAGCCATGCGCGGATCCGGATACTCGCTGCGAGCCGGGCTCCTGGAGAAGGGGGCGCACGTGGTCAAAGGACGGTAGACCACACCGGCTTCTCCCCAGATAAAACAGACCGTGTATCCTAGGAAAGTTGCCGTGGCTCTGGGCCCCGGTTTTCCCATCCAAGAAGAGAAAGGAAAGCCAGAGCTGAGCCCAGCGGCGGCCCAGGTGGCAGCCGAAGAGACGACGACGCTGGATGCCAGGCTGAGCGATCGGTTTGGTTCCAGAGCCTGGGAGACATTCCCGGAGTTCTGGATGGAAGAGGCAGGGTCGTACGCCCCCTCCCGGGAATGAGCCTTTACAAGGGACTTGTGGAAATGTAGGGCTACAGAAGAGGAGAATTGGAGGGATTTTGAGGTGAGATGACTCTGGACTTCTGGGTGTAACCTGGAAAGCGTTTGTTGGAATTTAGAGGGCTTACATGGTGGGGGGTATGTCTAGGTGGAGAAGTGGCCATGAGCCATAGGGAAGAAGGCCTGGCTACTCCATTCTCAGACCCAGCAGTGTGCCCCCAAAGTGTGCCAGCGTCCCTGAGCCTGTTTTATCTGTAAACGAAACAAAATAACCACACTAGTGAGGGTGTCGTAAAGGCTAGTTGAGTAATGTGTGACTACTGAAGGTTTGCTTTCTTTGCCCAGGGAACCTTAAAAACTTGGAGGGGGCGGGGGGCTGTCCTTAATTACTTGTCTTGAGAAGGAAACGGCGAATTCTTTCTCATTTAGATATTTACTGACATTTCAATTCTGGCTTTCATCAAGCCTTCACACATTTCCTTTCTGCGTTTTACTGCTGCTGGAATCTGGAGCAGCTTTGCTGACAGATAAACCAGGGATAGATGCTTCCTTAACTAAACTGTGGAGAAAAATCACACAGGGAAACAACTTGTGTGTGCATAAATCACCGGGGACTGGAAGCCAACCGCCTTCCGATTATTTACACAAATGCTCCTAATTATGGTGGCCATCTCTGCATGAAAGGATTCGATTGCCTGCTTGCAGTAAATCATAGTTACAGGTTACAAAAGACAAGGAACTGTCATTGATTGGCAGTCTCCTTGCTCTTTGAAAGGTTAGTATGCCTTTTGTTTTACATCACATTTTCAAATATGCCAAGTGTTTGTGTTGCAAAACTGTGGCTGCTCCCCTGGGCAGTGTGCACAGTCTACTGATTCTTACTTAGCAGAGATGGCTTCTGGTGGACCCTCTTTACACTGGCAGTAGGATTGCTTTCAAATTGCTTTGTGGACTTGCTGTCTTTGGTGTGTTCTGTCCTGCGGGCATCTTGTAAACGGTGCTACTGAAAGAAAACTTGAAATCTTGAAGCTTGAAGGACCCTTTTTTCCAGACCTCTTGTGTTCTTGACTTTTTTTTTTTTTTTTGGTACTGTGGACAAAATACCTGATAAAAGAAGTTGAAGGGGGAAAAGATTTATTTTGGCTCACAGTTTGAAGATACAGTCTGTCACAGCCACAGGAGCACGCAGCAACTGGTCACATTGCAGTAACAGTGAGGGCATACACAAGTCTTTATGTAGTCTGAGACCCCTGCCCATGAAACAGTACCACCTATATTTGCAATGGGTCTTCCTGCCTAAACCCAGCCCCTCAGAGACATGCCATGGTGATTTCAAATTTCATCAAATTGACAAGATTAAGCATCATAACATCCCACCCCTTCCCCCTAAAGTTTTGCTTTGATCTCATAATAAAAATGCAGTTAGTTCAATTCTAAAAGCCCCTATAGTCTTCCCCTCCTATCGTCTCTTCCTTCTCTTGTCCCAGTGCAGAGGTCCAAATTTCTTTTGATGGCACTAGTTCATTTCAATAGTTCCAGGTGCTTTCAAACCTGCCTCATTTGAAATTTCAACTTGTTTGCACTCCATTCCTCATCAAACTTTACATTTTTCCCTCCTTTTGCTTTCTCTAACTGTATTCCCGATTAAGAGCAGCGCACCGCAGCCAGACCGCAATTTGAGCGCTATCTTGTCTTTAATTTCCCGCCATTGTTTGATGAACATTAGTCCTTTACTTTTGAATTCTGCCTCACTCGGATTCTCAGGACACAGTCAAGAGGCAGCCTGAGTCTTTATAAGGATAGGACACAATGGCCCCCAACCCAGTTCCTGATAGAGTTCTGTTCTCTGAAAACTCATGAGCTGGGCCTCCACTGTCTGCACTTAGCATTCTGGTTTTCCAAATTCCCACCAGAATTCTCTGTTCAGCTCAATGCCCCATTTTATAATTGGGTTGATTAGCCTTTTACGGTCCAGTTTCTTGATTTCTTTATATATTTTGGAGATCAGACCTTTGTCAGTTGCGGGGTTGGTGAAAATCTCCCAGTAAGTGGGTTGCCTTTTTGTCTTAGTGACAGTGTACTTTGCTTTACAGAAGCTTCTCAGCCTCAGGAGGTCCCATTTATTCAATGATGCCCTTAGTGTCTGTGCTGCTGGAGTTATATGCAGGAAGTGGAGACCTGGATAGAGGTGGGCGGTCCTTGGGCTTCCCACAGGTCAGGGAACCCTGATTGCTCTTCGAGCAGATGAGGGAGGGGGACTTGATCGGGGGAGGGGGAGGGAAATGGGAAGCGGTTGCGGGGAGGAGGCAGAAATCCTTAATAAATAAATAAATTAAAAAAAATAAAATGAAATACAATTGAAATGTCAAAAAAAAAAAATCCCACCAGAATGGTCTGTTAGCATTCTAGGGCTTTTCTAGCCCAAAGTTCCAAACTTACATTTCTCCTGTGAATCAATTCCAAACTCTTACAAACCCTAAAGTCAGGATTATCGTAGTGGCCCCACTACTAAGTGCCAGTTTTCTACGCTAGTCATTCTGCTGGTTGTGGCCAGACACTGAAAAAAGCAGCTGGAGGACGACTTTAGTTTTGCTTACGTTTTGAGCACACTGCCCATCATGGCCTAGAAGGCATGACAGCTGGGGTATGAAGGAGCTGGCTACATTGTGTCCCCAGTCAGGAAGCAGAGAGAAAGAAATGCTGATGGACAGCTAACTTTCTCTTTCTGCAGCCTACAGCCCCAGCCCATGGAGAATGGGCTCACATTTAGAGTAGTTCTTTCCACCTAAACCCAGTCCCTCACAGACATGCCCAAATGCTTGCTTCCCTGGTGATTCTTTTTTCTTTTCTTTTTTCTTTCTTTTTCTTTCCTGTTTTGTTTTATTTTTCTAGACAAGTTTTCTTTCTGTAACAGCCTTGGCTGTCCTGGAACTCACTCTGTAGACCAGGCTGGCCTCCGACTCATGAAGATCCATCTGCCTCTGCCTCCCAAGTGCTGGGATTAAAGGTGTGCACCGCCACCACCCAGCTCCCCTGGTGATTCTATCATGTCGATTGTGAGATCAACCGTCACACTGCTCCACAGATGCCATGATTCCTTAACTGCCATAGTTCTTCTGTGCTAGGAAAGGGGCCAGGAAAACATAGGAGACAGCAGGGACAAACTCCAAGGTAAAGCCAGAAATCTAGAGGCCCTCACTGACAAAACTCACTCCTAGCTGTTTCTCTGTGCCAGCCCACCCTAGACAGTGGAAATGGTGGCCACTTAGAGTTCCCAAGTGATCTCGGTTGGATTGAAACCTAGCAAACCGAGATGAGAGTTCAGAGTCAGGAGTTTGGATATATTCTCAGAGTCTTCCCATTTTTTTCCAATGCCTATGTTAGCCTTCCCCTGGAGTTTCAGAAGCAGGGAGACCCTGACAGCTTCCCACTGAATCTCTGAGGCAGAGCAACAGTTAGGTGACCAGGACAATAATTCCTAATCCCATTTTGCAGGTGGGAATACTAAAGCCCCAAAAGCAGCAACTCATGGTCACGCAGAGGCTTAAGACATGTGGTAAACATAGCTGAGCCTAGGAGTCCATGAAGAACAAAGTCTTCATCCAGGATGTTGGCCACAGAAGGTACCGTGACTCATGGCCCTAGAGGTAACTTTCTGAAGCTGCAAAGTCACGGGAGAAATGGTTATCACAGTCAAGGGTCATACAGTCAGTGTCTTTAGGCAGTATGAGGAGCTGGAAGAGGAAAATGAAACCTTATTGGAACATGAGGCCGGCATGGCAGTGACTGAGAATGTCACGCCAGCATCTGCGTGTCCAGCGGTACTTTTCATGGTCCCTTAGACTCCTCCTAGTGAGTTGGTGTGGGGAATTGTCTAGCCATAGTTGAGTTAGTTCACCTTGCTCTACTTGGACTCCTTGTCTGTGAAATAACACAGCCATTTCCTCACAATAAACTCCACCTCCTCTGCTCTTCACGTTTTCCAGAGCCTGGGTCTCCTCAGAACTCTGCCCGTTTCCATATACTGTTCCCTTTCCCTGGAATAACCTGCCCCTGAATGTTGCTGTTCCCTTTCCCCAGAATAACCTGCCCTCAAACATGCTGTTCCCCGTCCTGAAATGCATTTCTTCCTCCGGAACCTCATTCTCCTCCCATTTTGGCACCAGGCACTTCA